AGCATTTCCACCCTCTGCTGATTTCAAATACCATTCGAATGCTTTTTTCTCATCTTTTTGTGTTCCTATACCATTTCGATAACACCAACCAAGATTAAATTGACCACTAGCATTTCCACCCTCTGCTGATTTCAAATACCATTCGAATGCTTTTTTCTCATCTTTTTGTGTTCCTATACCATTTCCATAACAATAACCAAGACTACATTGTCCTTCAGCATCTCCACCCTCTGCTGATTTCAAATACAATTTAAATACGTGGTTTTTTATTTCTATATGAGAGTTTGATAGAATCTCTTTTTTTTCGATTAATAATTGCATATTTACGTTTTGATATATTTTTTAGTTATTGATTGATTTAAAATATTAATTTGAAGGTCAGTTCTTAATTTCGATAAGATGAAAAATGCATATCGGAATTTGAAAACCTATCGTTATCAATTTGTCATACATGTACAGTATGTATCACATGTATGTAATACAGAATATCGATATAAGCTCGGACTTTTATAAATACATGTACATGTATTGCATCATGTATAACCACAAAATTACTATAATCACATTTTTCCAGTTTTCTATTAAACGTAAGGAATTTGACTTCCACATAGTATAGTCACAGCTTTTCATATCCCGAGGATGTTATTACATGGAGGTTCAACTGTATACGTATTTTTGCTAGCTAAGAAGAATAATTAAAATTTATTTTTCCTCCATAGGAAATGTTACCATGAAAGAAACTACAATTTCTGATTTCTATATTTAGCGAATGTTTTTAAACTTCCAAGATAAAAGTCTACCTTTTCGATCAGTGAAATTTCATTAAGAGTAATTTGTTCAAATATATAGATAAAGACATACCTAAATGTATTGAATTTCGAAAATTGCCAACAAAGATTTACGTTAGAAATTTGCGCATTATTTGATATGTACATGTACATTTATTTTTTCTATCACTATCCGTTATGTATTACAACATGTACATATATTTGACAATGCAATGTCAAGTTGTACATGTATATGTACATGGTGTAATTCAAATGAACAGAATAAACATGATGATTTTTTGTCTTCAAACAAAACAAAAGTTTAAAATAGTTACTATTTTTGTTTGAATTAAATATTATTATTTCATATTTACCTTTCCCTTAATTCTCTGTCTTTGATTGCGCAATCTCCGTGTAGATAAGCATAGAAGGACCTTTTTGAAACCACTTTGTGTAAATGATTCATTCTAGCTCTCTATTCTTGTAGCGGCTACAATTTTTTAGTCCGATTAACTTCTGAAACGAGCGTGACAGTATCATGCATAACTTTACTCTGGAAATATATTATCTCGTACTGATGCTAATTTTGATTTACCAGCCAAGAGATTTAAAAAATTCAATAAAAAATATACGAAGTACTTATATGCATATAGTCCGGTGGTAGTAATGGAAGATCACACCGAAGCTGTGGTTTATGTACGGTCATTAAGTAAACGAAATTTTGTGTACGCATTTATAAAGGAGACGACTTTAGATCGCACCGTCTGGAACACCACTTGATATTTTAAGAACTTTAGTGCCTATTTCAAAAGCTCTAAGAAACATTTCTATTTTAACGTTAAAGGCGTGGAAATTGAATACTTTGAATTTTCAGTGCTATAGCTTTAGAATATCTGAAAAAGCAGATATTATAGAAACTTGGTGAAATAAAAAAAGGCATATTACATATTTATAATTTCAAATTTCATTGACTCAGTTTTCTTTAATATACATAATAATTGACATCAAACCCACAATGAGTAAATGTGACGTTGATATCGTTTACTGTAGTAACATTGAGATTTGTGAGTCCATAATTTCCTTTGTAATTACACGACATTAATATTACCATAATTTTTAGACTAACGCCAAAACTATTTCTGTTCAACTTTCTAGATCGATGTTTCTTGAGATTCATGTCCTTGTTCTCCCAATACTCCTTTATTGACATCGTTTGTATTGTCTTTATTAATCATATTGTCCAAAGACTATGATTTTAGCGTAGAGTAGAAAGCATAGATATAGAATTAGTAATAATCGATTTGTATAAAAAGTCAAGATGTTAGTTAGCCTTTGAAAATAAAAATTCTTTTCTGTAATAATTCGTATATAAACTATTTTTCCTTATTATCTTCGAAGTAGTGAATGACCTCTAAATAATCCATAATTCGAATTTGATTATGTTGGCATAAACTAAATCCAGCCTTTGATTTTTACGTGCTGTAGTTTTTGGTCATTTGGATTGTTGCTTTCCGACGTAACTTTAGTAGAACACGTTATTTGTTGTAGGTAATCTTGAAAACCCTTTGATATTTGGTGTAGACTCTTCTTGCTGCTGGTTATCAGAAATTTCCTTGATATCCCATCAAATCTAGTTGTTAGTAAAAGGTTGATTTGCATACAAATTATCATAGAAGATCTTAGACAATAAAGAAACTCTTTAATTATAAATAGTTCAGTCTTGTTCTTACTCTGACCTTACCGCATTCGCTAATTCCTTAAGAGTGCGCAACAGTACATATGTTACACGAGGTTTGCATGCTGAGTATTTTTTGCTCGAATTATTGACAATTTGTTCATTTTTCAGCTCAAAAACTTCTGGTTAACTATGTTTATCAAGTGTATTATTCTCC